TTAGGGTGGGCTCTGAGACTTGAACCCAAGCTTCCCATGCAACCTCAGGCTCCTGTGTAGCAGTGTCCACCAGCATGTGCTATCCTCACTGAGCTGAGGTGCATATCTTTATTGTATCATTCCTTCTAAAAAACAGCTAAAACCTGAATAAATGAATGCATCTTAGAAGCAGCTTATTATTCTTGGGGTTTCTGTGACTCTCCGTAGGGCCTACAAATCACCAATGGAAAAAAATAGGGTACTTTTACAGAATTAAAGTGCTTGTTGGTTGAATAGCTCAACTTCAATGAATGGCTTTGTTTAGAGCCACCTGGTGACATTTTTGCAGTCCTCCCCCCTGGATGGAGAGTGGAAGCCACTACTTACCACCTACTTCCTGTCCTCTTAACCCATAGCTTGTTACATTAAGGTAGGAAAGTTTTATGTGTATAATTTGTGAAGTTCTCTTGAGCAGACAGTGCTATATAAATGTGAAATGCTGTTATTAATAATAAAGGTTGGCTAACCTAAGAATACTGTAGAATTAAAGTAATGAGATTCTATTTTTAGGCAGACTTGCCAATAACATGCAAGTATGATAAGGCTGTGATTTAAAGCCCCTGTGAACCTTCCGTTGCTCTAAAGAGTACATTTTCTGGGCTGCCTGTACAGTAGTCAGCCACACAGAGCTCTATTAACGCTAATGGCAGCTCCACACTTGAATCCCAGCATGCCCAGCTAAAAATAGGCCTTGGTCTTTCAGACATAGGCGTGAATCTTAAAGATAACCTAACCTGCTTTCACAAAATATACATCGGCTTCTGTCGCCACACTGCAAGTCCTGATTACTGTCTTTCAAACAATCAGAAAAGCCTTAAACAGATGTTTTGAACATTTTTGTACATCTGTAAGTATGTGATGCTATAAAATGTATTAGGGAGGCTCAGTTATGTTTGTTTTTCAGATGTGAAAAAATATATAAGGAAGGCCCAGATTTAAAGTGATTCATAACTATAAAAGAAGTTCCACTCAGGAAAAAAAAAATAATTAGCTCTTCCTCCACTAATGTTCAGGTCAATGCTTTGTCAATAACAGTAACTCTTCTTTGCCAATTTAGTGCAGCCTATAAAGATCGTTATGACTCATAATTACAGATGCAGATTTATGTCAAAATGTATGTATAAATCTCCAGTTCTGGCTTTGGGTCACCTCTTATCAGAAAAAAAGATTTGTGTAAGGAGACACTCTCCTTGATCCTTGTGGGTATTTTTCTCTTTCCATTTTAGGGGTAGAATTATAAGGGTTTGCTATCAATGACACAAATATGACCCACAGCACATTACAAATTCACAGCTGGAAAGAGCGACAGCTGGCCGGCGCTAGTGATGGGTAATGGGGGGAGAGTGATGTAGCTGTGGAAATATACTTTCTGGGATTATTATTATCTGGCTAAATGAAGAGCACCTTCTCAACACCTGCAGGCCAAACGCTGTAAATCAGAGGAAAGATGATTATCTGAACAGGGAGAGATAGGTTTTAAAATGACTGAGCCTTCCCGAGGCTGAAGTCTAGTGCTTAATTCTGGACACTGGGCAATTGTAGTCCTGCAGGGTTATCAAATTCTGTGGAAACCTGAATGACCAAATGAGACTTCAGCTTAACCTTACCAAGGATTCTGTCATGCTAGGATCCCCCCCCCTTTTTTTTTGATGTATTCCTTGCTAGGAAATCTGAGGGGTTTGTCTTGCTTTGTTTCAGGTTTTTGTCATAGGGTGCATGCTCTCAGGGAGACAGAGAGAAGCAAAGTGAGAAATCACTCCTCAGAAGGGATGGCCATGTCACAATCCTTTCTCCTTCATTCTTCCGTCAGGATTTTGAGCATGCATGAATATGCATGCAGATTAATTTTTAAGCCTCTGGGTATGGGACTTAAACTGTGGTTGGCCATGTGGGAGTCCAGCACCTTAACCTCCACACCACCTGTTGTCCTTGGAAATCTGAGTTTTGAAACATTTCATGGTCTGTAGAAAGCAATTTTCCTGATGGTAGGTGGCAGGATTTTCTTATTACCTGTGGAAGATGTAGAAAATGCACCCACTCACTTTATGTGCACAAGTAACCACTGAAAAACTGCTGGCTCTTCTATGTAGTATCTGCCTAATATCTGCTGGATTTGGGACATTCCAATGAAAATGCCTAGAAAGTCCACCTTTTTGTTTCTGCATGCAGATCTCAACCATATATACTTAGAAAAGACCATAGATGTTTAATGTGGCAATGCTTAGACAGTCTTAATAAAAATACATGAAAAGTTAGACACACAAATACTTTATGATCAGTCTATTCCAAATCTGGATATACGACACCCCCCACACAAAACATACATACAAATAAGTGCATATGCCCACAAGAAGACCCACACAAGGATAGTCATCACAGCCTTATTCATAATAACCCAACCCAAATGTCCACAGATAGATGAATGGATAAAAAAAAAGTCGTGTATCCTTGACTTCAGCAATAAAAAGCAATGAACTACTGATACCCACACAATATAGATGAATATGAAATATTTTCCAATAGCAAAGGAAGACAGACACAAAAGAGTTCATAGTGTGTGAACTCACTTGCATGAATTTCCAGGACAGGTTAAAGTAATCCATGAAAACAGAAATCAGAAGGCTAGCTATGTCAGTAGGGCAGAAGGTTATTGACTAGCAAGGTACACAAGGGAACTCTGAGCCATGAAAGTGTTTTATATCCTAATCTGGGCAGTGGTTAACATGGTATATACATATGTAAAAAATTCATTGGGCCGTATACTTAAGATTTGTGTGTTTTATTGTTTGTAAATTGTAGCTCAATAAATAAAAGTTTGAAAAATCTATGTGGAAAAATACATGGAGAAAAGCTCATGTTGTAAGAGCAAACATAACAAAGACAAAATCATAAGGTTGTTCTAAAGGATAAATGAAAAAGGAGAAATGAAAAAATATGAACCTTTCATCTCTTCTCACTTTTATCTCAGAACACGAAAATGCTGGAGCTCAGGAAACTGAAATTATTATATGATCTGCTTAGGAATTTAGCAAGAGCTCTTCAAAGGTTTTGAGGAATGGTCCCCTTAAATTAGGAAGTGCTTTGTTTGCAAGTTTCTCCTTAGGAAAGGGCATTTAAACATAAACAGCTAGGAAATAGATATTTCAGTTGATTCATCACTTGTTTTAACAAGAGATCAATTAGTTAATGATAGTGTTAGCCTTAAATATACTTCAGTAAAACATATTTCATTCTCTTAAATATTTAGATTAATGAAGGTATGGTGCTGTGGTGTTTTTATGACAAACATTGATATTAAATACACATTTTGAGTTTTTCATACATCTCACCTCAGTCGATTTGCATTTGTCTAATTGATAAAGACAAAAACATCCAAGATGCTAAGGGAAGTGTTCATAGGGCACTCGCCTTCCTGTGTTGCTAATGAGACAAAGTAGCTCTTTTTCAGAATGATCAGGACAGAACGTCCACAAGGCATCTGCTACTCATTACTCAGCTGACATTTCCATTGTTGGGATTCTAAAGTTTGTCTGAAATTATTAGTGACATTTATAAAATTCTTTGCAGAATTTTAAAATGGCCCCTAGAGATCACCAAATCTTTCCTCCTCATTTAGGAGGAGGAAACTGAGATCAGGAAGGTTAACTGACTTGCCTAGGTTCAGCTTCTTGGCTTGACCACTTGTGAAGAATTCAGATGCCTTCCTGGAACTCAGTGACAACAGCAGATTCTAAGTTCAACACACCACTGCCTCGTCTGTGAGCACGTGCACACTTACAGAATGGGAAGTCCATATACAGATCATCTTTAAGACCTAGAACGTTTTCTGGTCATGGAATTGTTTCCAATCTGTGGATAGTTTCTCTACAGTGAAGTTCTATCACTCACTTAAACTAAGCTTCTCTGTCCCACTTACCAGTAATAATGCTTTTAGAACTTTATGAACCAGTAGAATATATATACATATATAATGTAGTTTGGAAGCTGCAGTGCCTGGGTTCACTTCTTGTTTCAGTACTCACTAGCTGTGTAGATGAATTACTTGTACTCCAAATCTCAGATTCCTCATCTGGAAAATGGGGGTAATATTTTTACCTTAACTTTTTTTTTTTTAAGTTTAAATGAAATGATGTAAGTCAAGCTAGTCTGTCCTTAATAAATATCAAATAAGTGTTAGCTGAAGTTAATTTGGGAATTTTTGAAAAAAAAATATACTCCATCTTACCTTGCTCCATTTTGCCACTTCCACATTTTCGTATACATGGTTCACTGAACTGGATACCCTTCTCATTTCATTGTATCCTCTGCCAGCCCCCTCTTACCTCCAGCTCCCTGCATCATTAACTGTTTACTGTGTCTCCCACACACCACTCATCTGGCTGATTTCCGTGATATGCATCGCTCCTAGGATTCATGTTTGCACTCCTTTGGTTTTAAAAATCTCTTTCATTTTTTTATTTGATGTAACCTTTGTGAAGGCAGGGCCAAATGATGTATTTCTTTTGCATCTTTAACAGGGCCTAGCACAGTGAGGGGCATGTGGCAGATATTTGAAATCATTGTAATGAAGGAATTAAAACAGAGCAAATTCAGAATGTTAAGCATTGGTTCCAATAAAGGCTAGTAAACTATTTCAATGGTAATATTCTGAGATAAGATAATATTTTAAAATTTCATATAGCAGGAGCACTGTTCAGCCCCCCTCCTCCCCCATCCCCACCCCACCTGCCACCAAAAAGAACAAAAGCAAAATCCCTGCCGGAAGTGGAGTTATGACTTTTGCTATAATCCAGTTCTGAAAGTCTGGTGTTTTCTTTCAGTCCTGTTAGAGTACATGTAATCTAGTATCAAGATCAAAGTCTTGCTTTTGATTTATGTATCAACTAATGATCCAAGGCAAAAATATATATAAAACTATATCTCTATTTCATGCTCATATTCATATTCTTTTTAAACACCAGGAAGCAACAAAACCATCAGGATATACAACGGCATGACTCTACTGCAGTGACACAGGCAGCAGGGTACTGGTGTGCAGTACCAGAGCCACACAGGAGAACAGGTTTGGGTCCCTGGTCCACCTGGATATTATGCCCAACACACCTGTGAGCCTGGCTGGCTAGTGTATTGGTGTGAGGACACAGTGTGGCAAGACCCTACTGAGGCTACCTCTCTTTCTCCCTTCTCATGAAATAAACAAACAAACCAAAGGATATACAACAATAATGGTAAGATATATAGCTAACATTATATATACATCAGAAAATAGAGACCACCTTGGCAAACTCTGAAAGAAACCACCCAAATTACTTAGACTTTATGGTGCTATTTCACTGGAATTCTTTCATTTCCTTTTGCTGCTATGATTCTCTAGCATCCAATTCACAAAGATCTTTCTCAAGTGGAGTTAAGAATGTTGAATTGTTTGGACGATTGCCATTCACACCACAACTTTAACCTTTTCAAGGCATTAGTTTAGTTTTGTGATTTATTTAAACAATAAATTTTTTTCCTGTTTACATGAGTTCATTGCTAACTTAGTATCCAAATTTTAATTTTTGTGTAATTCCTACATAGCAGTCAAGATATCGTAAGCGCCAGAAGAAACAAAGCCAGGGAATACGTAGTTCCTGCACTTTGTGTTTCTAGGTTATTGTGCTCGGCAGGAATAAGACTTGTTGGGCTGTCACTCTGTGAGGAGTTTTGCTTATTGCATTTGCTTACACAGGGTATCAGTGTTTGGCTGCAACATAAGAATAAAGTGTGCATAGCCACAGTTTTTGTTATTCTTTAAATTGACAAATAAAAATTGCCTATGTTGAGCATGTACCACATAATGTTTTGAAGTATGTATACATGGTGGAATGCCTAAGTCCAGCTAATTAAATATGCATTAATTCACAAGTTTTCTTTTGTGTGTGTGGTGAAAATATTTAAAATCTAACCTCTCAGCAATTTTAAAGTATAGAATGCATTGTTATTAACTGTAGTCACTGTCTTGTACAATAGATCTCTTGAACTTATTCCTCCTGTCTAACTGAAATTTCATACCTATTGACCAACATGTCCCCCATCCGCCACTCAGCCCCGATCCCTGATAACCATCTTTCACCTCTCCACTTTTATACATTCAACTTGTTTTTGCTTCCGTATATAAGGGAGATCATGCAGGTTTTTTTTTTTTCTGTACTTGGATTACTTAATTTCAAATAATGTTCTCCAGGTTCATCCATGTTGTCACAATTGACAAAATTTCCTGATTTCTTTTCTTTTCTTTTTTTTTTTTTTTTTTTTTAGTAGGTTTTGGATTTTGGGCGGGG